TGTGGAGTTGCCCTGCGCGTGGCCTGCGCCATGCACGTCTCGGTGCTCGGGGGCTCCTCATGGCAGGGGGTTGCTCTGTCCCAGACCCCTCTGTGTGCAGTCTCTACCAGCTTGGCCCAGGCGAGAGGGACATTAACCACCAGGCACCGCTGCATGGGCCGGACGGGGGACCCGACGCACAATGCTCCTTGGGAGGACACCAGCTGCATGCATGCACTGCCGTAGCTGGCACGCGGGCATGGGTGCCCTGCAGACGCAGCAGACAGAGGGCCTCCCCTGGAGAACTGGGTCCAGTTTGGCCCCCCACTTTCAAGAAGGATGTGGCCGGATTGGGAGCAGCCCAGCATAGAGCGACAGAAATCCTGAGAGGCCTGGGGCGCAGGACTGGCGAGGAAAGGCTGGAAGAGCCAGGGTTATCTCGTCTGGAGAGGAGCAGACTGAGGGGACTGATCAGTCTGCAAGTCCCTGCAGGGCAGGTGCAGAGACGGTAGCGATGGGCCGCAGCGGACAGGACATGGGGCAATGGCCTCAGGCTGGTGAGCAGGAGGGGCTCTGAGGGCGGTCAAGCATCGGATCGGGCACAAGAGAAGTTGCGCAATCCCCACCCCTGGAAGTCTCTGGACAGACCCATGGCTGGGATGGTGTAGCCAAGGCTGATCCTGCCCTGAGCAAGGGACACGACCTTGCAAAGCCCCTTCCAGCCCGACTTGCCTGTGCCCCGGGGCCGTTCCATGCCGCAGGCAGCTCGCACGGTGCATGGCCCATGGACGTTGCAGCAGCTCCTGCCGGGCCTGTGATGCTCGTCCCTTCCCTTCCTGGCTGTTTCTGCAGAGGTCTCCTGCTCCACGCGCGCTCTGCCCTCCAGGCAACCTGCAGCATTCCCTGGACCCGGACTCAGGGCTTCAATGTGGACCGATTCTGCAGCCCTGCTCCGTGCACCAGCCTCCAGGACCCAGGAATTTTCCATGTGGCCTCTGGTGCTGTGGCGCGTGCTCCCCAGGGCATGTCCTGTGCATGTTGCAGGGCTCAGGGTGGCCTTCCGAGGTCACGGGGGCGCAGGGAAAGCGTGTGAAGGATGCACCCCCGCAGCTTGGCTAGGAGGTCCATGCCGTCGCGGCTGGTCCGGGGGTGCCAGACACAGCAGCTGTTGGCCTCTCGCCTGGATCCCAGCTGCACCCGGGCCCCAGGGAGAAGGGGCTGGAGGGGTGCGCTGCTCCTGGGAGATCCTGGCTGGAGGCTGCTCTCGGGCATGGCTGGCTCAGTGCCTCCGCCTCACCTGGGTGTCTCGCCGCAACGGGCTGGCTAACGAGGGCTTGGCTGCACCCTCGCTGCCATGTCACGGAGCCTGCAACCGCGTCTGGCATTGGCACCGACACGCACCGGCTCCGGGTTCACTTAGCCGTAGCCAGGCCCCATGTCCTGGACCATGCTGGGGACGTCTAAGTCCCAGGCACCAGGACCCTGCCAGCTGGAGCACCCCCGGCACCCGGCGTGATGGGCAGGGTCCGCAGAGACTTCACAGCTGAGCCAGGCAAGAAGAATAGAGCCCCAAAGTGTGACATGCTATTTGCGTGCAAATAACTCTGCAAGCGCACGGGCCCCAAATATCATTTTGGAGTCAACTGTAATTAAGTTTGCGATGCATTTTCCCAGCTCCCGCAGCTCGGGGGATCCCACCGTTAACATGAAGATGAATGTCTGGATGACACTTCTGCCCCTTGCCTGCTTTCATCGGTGATTTATTTATCTAGCCCGGGCAGTGTTTTGTCGCCTCAGCAGTCTCTGCTGCTCGGGAGCACCCAGCGCGTGGAGTCCGTTTCCAAAAGCACCCTCTTGTCTCGTTCCTGTAATTGATGCCGCCATTACTTTGTGTTTTTCATAATTGATTAGAACCTGTAATTTCATTTTTTAAATACATGGACCTAATAGCTCACGTAATGGAAGTCTAACAAGCCCGAAGATGGGCCATTAATGAAACAGCAGTTTTATGATTCTCCACCGATATATTGTAATAGTGGGCCGCTTATAAAGCCATCCGGTGCTGAGTTACGGCGCCAGCTTGTTTGTGATGTGGAGATCGCGGCAGCAGTGCCCGGGACTCAATTAGCATTTCCTGACAGTCATTAAACAATGGGACTCATAACCTGGATTTATGGGGCCGAAGCAAACAGTGGGAAAGGCCAATTAGGCCATGCCCAGATACGGCACCTGTGTAGAACAGGCCTCTTAATTTATGCAAACTAATTACTTGGTTCTCTTCTAACGAGGACTGTGGCACAGGGCAGGTGGGGGGCTGCTGGGCCTGGTGGCATGCGTAGCTTGGCTCTTGTGCCCAGCTATCGCGGAGGGCTGGGGGTGGTGATGCCCTTTCCCGTGCCAGCGGGCGCGCTGGCTCTCCTCTGTTTGCAAACCCGGGTAGGGCAGGAAGGGCGCAGGCCCCGGGTCGCACAGCCCCACGTTCACGCGTCGCTCGGGGTCACGGCCATGAAGCTGATACCGTCCGGCTGCTGTGGAGGGGCTCACAGCTGCTCCCACAAGCAACCTGCCACACGAATCGCAGAGCCTGCGCACACGTGCTGAGAGGAAAGGGGCAGTAGGAGCTGCTGAGCCGGGAGCGAGTGTGAGCACGGGGGTGAGCGCTCAGCTCTGCGCCTCGCCCAGTGCCCCTCGCTCCCCCCATCACGGGTGCTCGGCCTTGCTCCAGGTCCCGGGTCCTGGCAGCATTGCCACGCTGGTCATGGCAGCACCAGACGACGTCCCAGATTGCCCAGCCCAGCCCAGCCCAGCGCCAGGGCTCAGCACCGAGCACAAGATGTCCTGCAGAGCCGGAGTGCGTCACGCGTGGGATTACCCACCTGTGAGACACCAAGGGGGGTGGGGGGCGTGTAGGGAGCCTGAGGAGTTGAGCTCATGCCAGCATCGGTGCTGCCGGCACGCGCAGCGGCTGGATCCTGGCACGCACCGAGCCCAGCGACACAGGGAGCAGGGCAGTGCCCTGCCTTCCTCATCCCCGTGGGCTGGGCCCGTCCCCATGGCTCTGAGTGGGGGGAACGGAGACACCAGGCAAGGGGCTGTCACTTTGCCCCAGCACAGAGAGCAGTCGGCTGGGGTTATATTCCTGGCTCTGCCACCGACTGCCTGTGTAGTCCGTGGCCAAGTTCCTTCACCTCCATTGTCCCACGCTTCCTAGAGCCCCTCTCTCTCCCTACGGGTACCGGGGCCTGGCACACCCTCAGGCGGGGTCACAAATGGTGGCCGGGGCTTGCAGCTGGACCACACTGGGCTCGTCTCCAAATTGCCCCAGCCTCTCTGGGCAAGCACCCCTGTGCCAACCAGGGCCAGGGCCAGGGCCAGGGCAGTGAGCTCCATTTCCACGCTCCAGCCTGGCAGGAGGGCTGGACACTGCGTGCAGGGTACACACCGCCCGGCACTGCCCAACAGACGGCTTCTGTTTGAAACATGGCACTGCTGGAGGCCGGCACGCAGCTCCCCTCGAGCGGCTCCTGGTGCACGCGGCTGCTGCACAGTTAAAGCTTGTACACACACACACACACACACACACACACACACACA